TTTTTTTTATTTCAAAGAAAAATGCCCCTTCTTTCAAATAAAAGAATAAAAAAAAAAATACTTTTACAAATTTTTTTATCCCTTTGTAAACTTAGGAATTTTTTAAATTTTCTGCAATAAATTTTAGGGTGTAGCAAATAGGCCATTCCAGCCAGGAAACTCAATATTTTTTAAAAAGCTCTATAGAGTGGTTTCCTTACAGATTTTCTAATTAGAAAAATTGTGTCTTAAGATAAAGTATGATAAATTGTATTTTTAGCAATTTTTTTTTAAAGACTCCAGCTAAAGGCATTTTCATAAAAGAAAAAATATATAAAAAACACACAACTTTAAGAGGTTTTTGTGAGAACCTTATGAGATAAAAACAAAAACTAAGTCCAGATCCTTAATCTAGGATAAATTTCCTTTCCAACGATACCAAACACGTTGACATACGTGACAACAATTTTTTTGATTTTTGCCCGCTCATACAGCACTGTGCGTAGGTAGAATCGTAGTATAGTCGAGCAATTGTAATTGCGCATACGGAAGCTCTATGAAAACACAGTGAACTCCAATCAAAAAGTCTTGAATCAGGCATTCTTCGGAATTTATATGCAAAAAATATACAAGCAGGAGCATCGCTTCAGAAATAAATTGGAAAATATCTGGCCTTGCTCATCGCTTTTGTGCGTGATTAAAACATTGGCATTGATTTAATTTAGGTCCTCAACAAAAGGTCTAAAGCAAAGTTACATTTTAATAGTGTTACATAAATGTGAACGATTTTATTTTTATTAATTCGAACTCACTCGTTAACAAACATCCAAATTACACATGCGAATACGTATAGGTGTCGGTGTTATGAAATTTTAATAAACTCATCCTTTTGCCCAGCCTTAACCACCGTCCAGCCAGTGTCGAATACTAAAAGTTGAAAAGTAATAATAAAGGGAAATTATTCATGTTGCAAATTTGTAATAAAGTGAAATATTGTTGCGCATTTACATGAAATGAATGAACTTATGCACATCCATACAATATGTATGTAAGTGTATAAAAGCGCCTGGTAAATACAGTGACGGCCACTTGAATAGCGCCCCTTTTGCTTTTCGGTTTTCACATTTTCATTCTAAGTCCCGTATTTTAATATAGGAAGCAAGTGATATTAAAAATGCATCGTTTATATTCAATGAAAGGCAAATTTGCTAAGTTCAAAAGGGACACCGAAAGTCCGAGAAAACCAAAATAATGCACCATTTTTTAACCGACTTCCAAAAAAGGAGGAGGTTATCAGTTCGTCGGAGTATTTTTTTTATTTTTATTTTTTGTTTTTTTTTTATGTATGTTACCGCATAACTTTGGACCACGTCAACCGATTTCGATAATTCTTGCATCGGAAAGGTAGTATCTCAGAGGTGGTCCCATACTAATCTGGTTAAGATCCGATCAGCGGATCATGAGATATATATATATATATATATATTTTTTTTTTTTTATATGAGAGTTGAAGTGGGTTTTTTTTGGCTAAAAATTACTTGTTGTATATTGCTTTGCTTTAGACACGCAAAGTGTTGTATTTAAAGATTTGCGAAATACTTGCAGAAAATGGATATACCTAGATAGCGATATATTTTTTTATAAAAATGTTACATATTCTTTGGCAAAAGCTATGTATTTTGAAATTCCAAAACAAAGCACGCCGGAACATGTAAACTTAATATTAGGACGTATGAAAAATAACTAAGCAATTACTTTTTCTTAAAATTTCATACCTTTTACTTCAATTTCGTTTGAATAAATCGAGTAAAAGGTCTGAAATTAAAAAAAAGATATTGCTTATTTTTATTCATAAGGCCCATTGGGTCGTAGATTAGAGATCTGTATACTGGTATTTTATTTTTCCTCTTATTCGTATTAAATCCTATTCCTTTTCAAAAAATCAAGCTACCAACGATGAAAATCGAAGGATAAATAAAAAAGTTGTGAATAGTCAACTGAAAAAGGGCAATATTGTTTTGTGCTGAAATAAAAGCAGGAAATAATGTCACTTATACGCCATATCGTACATAGCCGTAAGTGTACATAGTACTCGTACATTGCGTAACATTTTCCAAGTAAAAGTTTAAAATTCAATAGTGAAAATATCTTGGGAAAATGACCTGATCTAGAAAATTAAAAAAGGCCCGATCTAAAAAGAAAGTTGGAAAATTCTTAAATTTTTTAAAATTTTGTATAAAGTTTGAAAATCGTATTTACATGGTTTTTGTTATATGTAGAATACGATAAATGGTCATAAACACATTTATGAATATTAAGCAGGAAGACTGCAAAAACTGAGTATCAAAAGGTGGCGCTATTCAAGTGGCCGGCACTGTATGGTGAACACATTTCTGTTGTGCGATTTTTAATCCGATGCGTTCGCAATGGTTGGTAGTGTGGCGAAAAATGCACTTCAATGGACTTCATTAATGGCGAACGCAAGTGCTAGGCTTATACGAGTACATATGTCTGTATGTACTACATATGTATGTATATTTTCATACATTTGGACATGTATATGTATGTATGTAAATACTTGAACATTTTTATGAGTCTTTATTTGCATGCAACAAAAGAACAAATATCGGATGCCGAATGGGGCAGCAAACATTTAAATTATGAGCCGTTGTAATGCTGCCTCTAAATGTGTATGGGCGTGTACACTCAAAAAAGTGTAGATATAGCATGAAGGCAAGGCTATGAGAAAACTTGCAAAAGTGTAGTATAAATGGTCGACATAAAAAACGCATACATATGCACTTGGGTATATAAGTATAATAAAGCATCAAAAAATAGTAAAACCTCGGGATTAAAGATAATACTGAAATGTGTCTGTATGTGAGGTTACTAACAATTTTCAGTTACATTTGCAAGTGCAATGGGGCATGGTTGTTCGTCGCGGGATGCGATTGTGCTTGCATGACCATAATCGATCCCGACTCTTGCGTCCTCGTTCGTGCCAAAGTAAGAAATCGTATCTGAGATGTGGTAACCAGTCCCAATAGAGCCCAGAGTCATCGAAATAGAGCGAGCTTTGGTGGGTCTCTTCGACGTTTTCGGTTTAAGGGCTCAACGAAGTCCGCAGCGTCTATTCTATTGGCTCGATTGGTTCGTTATAAAAAAAAACAAGATCCGCAGGTTATAGCGTATGCCGATGAAACGAAAATTGAAATTGAATAGAAAAGCAAAGCATGTGGGCCGGGTGGTGAACAAAAGGACAAAAGGAAGTATCTTCTGCCACCAACAAACAGTCATCCCATGGGTATTTCGGCAGTTACATCACTGTTTGGCTAGAGCTTCCAATAAGCACTTCGCTTAAGAACTCAGTTACCCACGAAAGTGTACGTGTATCTACGTGTAGAAACATATCAAATTTGCTGCTGATAGAGAGAGAGAGAGAGGGAGACAGAAGCAACGGCCACGTCATGGCCATGCGGTGGTGAGTTTTCATTAACACCAGGGTTACACTGACGAAAAAAAATTGCCACCCACTTGATAAAAATCTACCAAATCTGGAAAATATCTACCAATAACTTTTTTTTAATTATTTTAACAAAAACTATAGCTTTGTTAATTTTTTTTAGTTATTTAATTAAAAATTAAAATTTTATATTTAGGAAATTTCGACTTAACTAATAATATCTCAAATACCAGATCATATTAATGGCCTCTTTTCGGTTTTCTTCAGCCGAAAGTGATGAAACTAAGGCAACAACGAAATATCATCATTTGAAAAACTTCAACGGATAAATGGTGTTTTTTTTAATATTCACAATATTTTTCAAGTAAAATTGTTCGCGCTTTAACCAAACCCACAAAAATCAAGGATTCAAGCTATATTAAACATTAAGAAGAATTCAAACAAAATTTCGTTTAAAGTTCGAATTTGTACTCTGAAGTTTTAGAGCATTTGTATGTATACAGTTTTATAGCCATAGAATTTAAATACATACGCGTATTTAGAAAATACGTAGCACTTCTACTTGATAGCGGGAAGTACTATTCCATATGTTTTCTTGGAGGCAGTACCCCTTCTTTGCTGCTACTATTCTTAAGACGACCGTAGGTCTTCGTCCAGTTATAATGATGCCAGTGTCCAGGAAGATGTTGCTTAAATTCTCTTGGATTATTTCCTGGTGCCACCAACTTAAATTTGTCCAAAAAGGATCCTCTCTTCGTCAGGACATCAGCTCTTTCATTGCCTTCGATGCTTGCGAACACTGAAAAGATTGACGGCAAACTTTAACAGTAATTTTGTAATTAGCAAACCATGCATCTAGTTAGTGGATTTCAGTTCGGTTACCAGTTTGTAAACTAAAGTTTTTTCGCTTCGTAGTATGCCTTAGCAAGTTTGCCCTGCACTGGGTCAAATGGCTTTTGTTTGGTTTGCAGTAACTTCCACTGGCCTCTCCATTCTTTCTACTCTATTTCTCGTTATTTTAAAATGCTAACATATTTCACTTTGGTATTTTATTTCATATATCCGACTGTGTCCTTTTTACTTTGGACCTACATACATATTATTTTTTATGTAAAAGTGCTCGTACGTGTGGAGTCTTCTACATATGTGCGAGGCGCTTAAATATTTTTAATTTTATGGTTTCTGAATAATGTGCAGCCGCCTGTAGCTAAAGGGCGCAGTTATTTTTTTCTTATTTTAGAAAACTGTTTTTAGAAACTGTACAGTGAATTCGGTGTTGTTTAGGTGTATGAATGTTTATTCAGCGGTAGTAGACATTTCTCTATGAGCGTCATTTTACCATGTTTTTGTACAGAGGAAATTATTTTTAGCAAATTGGAAATTTATGGTGGATCTTATTGAGTGACGGCTTGACATCTGCATACATAACAAGTCACAATTAAAAAAACAAGTAATTTTTAAGCAAAACTACTCTCACTAAGTTCTTGGTTAAGTTCAGCTAAAGGGCCTACAATCAGCAAACGACAAAAGGCTGCAGTGACTACTTGAACTCGCAAATGGGAGAAAAATGTTCTTTAACATTGCCTCAGATTTGTAAGCAAGCTTTGCAAAGCACAGGCTACCCTTGGTCTTTCTTATGGGCCCGTGGGCGCATCTGCCCATGCATGCGGGCTGAGTTGAGAAATTTTTTAACTGAAGCGCCGTCAACCAACCGTACGACATGCCCAAGCCAATTCAATCGCTGATTTTTTCATGCGCTTAACTAAGTACAATTGTCCATATCGTTAAAAAGTCCACGTCGCCTACGCAAACAGGGCCCTAAAACTTTCGTAGAATAGGTCTGGTAAGCCCGCAAAGATGTTTGTAGCCTTTATGTTACATCCTATGTAGACAAAGTGTTTCACTTATTCAAAATTGTATCAGCCAACAGTGATGTGACTTCCGATACGCGAAGGTTCTTTACGTGTTTTCGGGAGGTACATATGAGCTTTGTCTTGCCCTTGTTCATCGCTAGATCAACCTCTTTGTATAAGTTAGAAAATGTTGAGCAGTTTTTCAGTATCTTCTTTCTGAACTTATTGAAATATAAAAGTCGTTGACATGCCGACTATAGTCAGCGCTCCTACCTTTGGTACATTCTTCCTTAAGCTCCACACGCGAAGTAATTAGTCTGTTCCTTTGAACTTCGGACTAAAACCTGTGGAACTGTCAAACTACAATTTTACTCTCTCAAATGAGAGTAAAAGGAGAACAGATGCAGAAGTGCATAGGAACGCAAAAAGCACTATTTCCTGTAAAAACGTCAGTCGGTTTGTTTACATGTCATTTGTACAACACTGATTTAGCTGAAATATCAGTAAATAATTATTAAAATCTATACATGTTCAAACATTTCGTTGTTTACTTCCATTTTTTTACAAACATAAGGTACTTTGCTTTCACCGCTGTCACAGCTGATCGTTTGATACTTTTCATGAACTTACAGGAAAAGAAACTCCGGACTAAATCCTGTAACTTCTGACTAGGAACAGTTGCTCAGTTACTCTCTCAAAAGTGTTCCCACTTACAGGCTTTATGTCAATAGGAACGACTTCCTGTAAGTTCTGACTAAATCCTGTAAACCGGACTGCTATTGGAACAGACTAAATTTTTGCACCCGCTTGTTAGCTGCAGGTTAGCAACCAAACAGTTGTTGCCAAAACATGCTTACCCGCACCCTGAATAAATCTCATTGCACGGCAGCCAACGACAGCTTGAGCATGACTCCTACAATATGTGAAGCTGATGAAGTGCGTAATTGTTAACTTCGCGAGAAGGTTTGCTATAGAAAAGCCCAAATATATGTGCGCGCAATCTTCGTCCAAATCTTCCTCTATTAAACAGATTAAATCAAATGTGTAGACATACATTAACATACATACATATTTATTCTATGCAGTGAATTTACTAAAGCTCTTTGTGCGCTTTCAACGTTAAATTATCTCCCTTTTGTAAATTTCACAGTTGCCGCTGCAATGAACTTGAAAATGAATTATGAACTTTATATTGAGATAACGCAAATCGAACTTTTTGCCGATTGAAGTGCTTGGTGTCTAAGTGCTAGAAATGCAAAGCAGAAGGCAAAGCGAGTATACTTCTAGGGATTAGGATGAATTTCGAATGCTTCAAACAAAACAACGCAAAACCAAATAAATTGTAAAAGTTCAAAAAATATGTATGTATGGCTTGGATGAGAAATTGCGATTATCGGGTTGAGAAGAGAGGTGTTAAGAGGCAACTAGTTATTGCAAGCGGCATATGTATGTATGTACATGAGTACCCTGCAGGAAAAGCTACAAGTTGTGGACCAGAATGCTACCAGTTTGCCTTTCACACCAACTAGTTAAGTTAAACATGGCGGTGACCTACGAGATGTCAATTGTCTGGATATGAATGAGCACCTACCAGTGGAAATACTTGTAGCAGCATACCAGTTAACGGCATAGTCTGACAATTCATCCCCCCTATGTGTATGCCATTTTGACCGCGGCTCTCCAACAGTGACAATGGTCGACAGAGCAAAGCACTAGCGTGTTATTCTTGAGCTCTGGGGTTCGCTAGCTTAAAGTGAAAAGTCCCTAAGTCCATTTCTAAAAATTTTACTGGAAAGGAAACAACTTCTTATAGCCATTTTTTTTAAGTACTTCCCAAAACATTGAATACAAAATTTTGCTCATTTAAAGCAAAGCAAAACGTCATACAAATCAGAAGGATTCGATCTTTATAAAGAGATTACGTATTAGTTTGGCCTTACCGAATTTTCGGTGCTTCCTTCGGACCTGCAAGTGTTTTAATCTCTTTCGAAACGATGCGTTTTTAATTTCTCTTGCTTCCTATATCAAAACGTGAGTTTTCATTAAAAGTGGACTTAGCTACTTTTCACTCTAAAAGCCTGATTATGGCAACTTAACTTAACTGAACGGAACTTAGAATTTGGAAAATCAAAATGAAACAGATTTCTACGGGGCATTAAGTTATGTTAAGTTTCGGCTGTTCAATTATAAGCAACATTTATTTAAGAAAATTTTTTAGTGACAGCATGTAAGTTACGTTAAGTTAACTTCAAAGGCAGATGTCGCTGATAGCATACATTTTTCGAAATTTAAGCTCATGCTGGTTAATAACCTGGTATTTTTACTGACTGGGTGGGCTTTTTCACTGGATGGTATCTACATACTTATAGATAACTTTCATTATTTGAATGGTGTTTGTGGCTGTGTGATTCACGGCTTGGCGGGTGTGAGTGAATTGGACTGCACAACCGAAAGTTCTAGAAAATATCTACTCAATTTCATTGAATCATTATTTCCCTTTACCGCAGTGCTTCAGTATATTGCTATGCTGTATGCTATTAAAGGCACAGTGGTCAATTGATATTGGTATTGGTGACACGACACTCAAGCAAAAGAAGAAGTGAAAAGGCAAAGCTACGGTGACCAGATTTCTGTGGACAAAAATCGGGACACTTCTCAAAGCATCGAATCCGTAAATATAATTTTGTTTTTAGAAAAAAATACATAAAATCTTTTAATGGAGTTTTACACATATATTTTTTTCATCCATACATTTTTTTTAGGGCATTAGTACTATTTTTTATCATTTTATTAAGGTCAAGTTTGTAGGGTTTAGTTAAAAAATCAATAAACTTAACAAGTAATTATAAAACCCTTAAAAAAAGTGAAGCAAGAATGATTGAGTGCAATATAGCGAGAAAACCAGTCTGGCAGAATAAAACATAACCAAAGATCATAGAAAATAAGGATGCTGGCTATGTCTATGGCTCCCGTTGCGCCCTAATTGGTTCTAGGTATAATTGTAACAAGAGGTTAAGCTTCTTGCCATCACAACAGTCTAAAGTATCAACTTAAACAAACCTCAAAAAAAAATATCCAAACAACAAGATTTTTAAATCAAATATCATTGTCATAAGCAATATCGGCTCTCAACGGGTTAATAAAGAAAACACTAAAAATCGGGATTTAATCGGTACAAATATGCAAAATCGGGACACTTATACGTCCAGACTTTCAAAGAAAATATTCAGTGGAACAATTCTCTTAAAATCGGTAAATACTATCCCGCCAAAATCGGTACGAATGGTCACCGTAGGCAAAGCGCAAGCAGTTTGTATTTAGGTAAATATTTGCACTGTTTACATTATGCATTTATCATATTTATGGCATAGAGAGAATGTCATTTCATTGAGGAGAGCCTCTGTTTCGATTGCTTTCGCATTTGTTTTCCGTATTTTGAATAGTAAGACTAGGGATTTGCGTACGATTACTGGCCATGAACGGCAATTCTAAATGCGTTTAGGAACTCAACGAACTTTTCTATGCAATTGCAGTTGCAATTTTTCCAATCAAATACAGGCGCAGGAAATTCGACAATAAGCAACAAAAAGTTTGTATGAAGAGCAAATGCTTCACTTGCATGCAACAGCAGAAGAATCGTTACAAAACTATAACTGCAGCTTTGGAGTCAAAGGTACAAGTATCTATCTATGTGATATTTATAGTCATAGCAGAAGCTTTTTCTTGGTCTTAACAGCACTTTTACTGTTGCCATGCTACATCAGCGTATTTTTGTGCAAAAGCTATACTAGGAAATTATATACCAAATTCCCAAGTTGGACTCAATTTGAGTTATTCGAATGTTGTTTGGTTGTTGCAATATTTGCATACAGTGTGGATTTGCGTTGCAAATAATCGAGGAAAACCAATTATGAAGTGATAAACATATTTCTACAATTTCAAAGCAACTATTGGACAGTTGAATGGAAACTTTCAGCCGCAACTATCAGTTTTATTCATGAACTGATTGCATATATGTATGTAGTATATAAATAAGTATGTCTTAATGGAGAAAATATATGTACAAAATATACGTACGTATGTATATCATGAATTCAGGCAAATATTTAGTTATGTTCACACATGTGTGCATAGATACAAGTAATCTGCCAAATTGTTTGAGGAATCAAAGCTACAATAGGGGTATTCTCTGAGTCTTGCAAAGTCCTTGCACGTTTTGCAAAGCTGTTCCATACGAACACCGGGTTTTAGCGTGCAATCCGTGTAAACTGTGCACCGTGCAAGGGCTTTGCAAGACTCAGAGAATGCCCCTATTGGCGTTTACTTTGCGTAGCTTGAATCGAGTGAATCAAAAAATATATATATATATTTTATTCCAATAAGGAATGTTAAAAAATTAATAAAAAAACCACGTATATATATGGGGTGTTTACTTTAGAGGTAAACAACTTATATCCCATATATTAATAATGGTAGCAGAAATAATGGATTCACCTTATTTTGTCGAGTTTTGGCTATATTTTTTGTTTATTTAATGTTTAATGGATGGATGTAGAGTGAGATGTTTAAGAAAGTTTTTTATCTAAAATATTTTTGAGGAGCGTTGCCATCTGCTTAGAAATTAAAAATCAGTTTTTTTTAACAGGTTTGACACAATATTTTAATATGGGTGTTAAATGAGCGAGAGAAAGATTCATTAGGGAAATATTTTTGACTAAGGTAGCCACCTGGTCAGAAATGCCAAATCAATTTAATTAACAATGTATATAAAGTGGTTTATATGGTTGACACACGAGGCAAAAGTCGCACATAATTTTGGAAAAGGATCAAAAAATCCAA